GTTCTTTGCAATATTGTCCCACCTATGCGGTGTTCTTGTTACCTCAAATCTAACTACTTATTTGATTAAACGTATTTTTTTATTTTGGTCTAGGACTTCAACGAGAAATGTCATATAAACGCAATGACGGTTCGTTTAGTGCATTCGGAAAAAGTGATTCTTCTGGGAGCAGCTGGTATATAGATTTCAGGCAACTTTATATTTGCTGATTAACGAAAAAAAAATTTTGTCACCGAGAAAATGCCACAGTGCATATTGCTTAATAATACTAAAAAAATAAAATAAAACAATCATTATTATTAATTATGAGAATTTTTGAACCGCATGTGTAGATCCATATTCTATGTATATTGTTTTGTTTATTGTGTTTTGCATGCAGCAACGTTTTAATTGAAATATCATGTTATCATTTGATAAAGTTTTTATTGACGCATAAACGTCTTTTTCCGTTTGGTATATAGCTAAATGGTCGTTTCGTAATTTGTACTTTATAAATGTCATTTTTATTCTTAGGAAGACAAAACCTCGAAAGCTTAAGAAAGCATTTGTTTTTATTGAACTGATTCTACAATGCAAAATGCAAATAAAGCAAAGTTGCATTTCCTTAGGCAACATTAGTTAATTATTATGAAACTTCAACATAATTGTTTTTGAAAAAAATAAGAATATGTGTGCACCTTTTTTCGAGATCGAGAGGAAAACAAAATTAGGATATTTTATCAATGTCTCCTGTTTATACATTTTATATGTCATGTGCAGCGTACTTCGAATTTTAGCATGTTTGCCTTTTCGTCGTTTATGCATGATTAGTATTTTACGCGAAAATGAAGACATGACAGATGTTACGCATGACACTTTTCATGTATATTATTTTAGATTTTATTTTTTCGTTCTTTCGCAATTTCTGAAATTTCTGCATTCAGCATTATTGTGGCATTTTGTGTAGATAAATAATAAATCAAATTCGACATGGTAAACCAACCACCACAAAACTAATCATTTGATTGTGATCATTCGTGTTCGAAACATACTTTTGATACACAAGATGACAAGTTTAAGTGTTATTATTTATACTGTAACATCAACAGAACTTTAAAAAAATCACCAGGCTAATTTTTTACTTCCTTCTGCACACAAGGTTGACGGCGTTCGTTCTCAAGTGTTTCGGTCAAGCAAAAGATCTCATTCAAATTGACGATTCCGTTATGGTTAAAGCTATAGTTTGGTTACTGAGATACCAAAATAGTGACGGATCTTTTCAAGAACCAGGAAGAGTAATTCACTATCAAATGCAGGTGCATGTATATCTTTTAGATTTATTAAAACGTTAAAACGAAAAATATTTCAATAGGTTAATGTTCACTTTACATACCTGTAAGGGTCATCTTCATGTCAAGTCTAGAAACAACAGTCGTTCCTCATTGAAGGTAAAAATTTGCCTGGCATTAGTAGCATTCGATCCTATCCCTTGAAAAAGTTTTCGTGCCGCTATAAAATATTTGCAACAATGATTTTTAATCTATTCATGATTTTTCATTATCTTTTAAAAAAGGAATAATATTTATGAAATTTTATGATACATTTCAATTGTTTCTAAATATAAACATTTGTTTATAAGAAATTATTGATAAATGTTTTTAAAAAGCTACCCAAATGTCAAATTGTCTATACTTGGAACGTTTTTGCCAAAATTAAAAACAATACATATTCAAACAGTTATACATTTTGTATTAGGGTGGGTCATCTTCCGGGACAAGGATGTCAGCATTTATTCTAATTTCATTATTAGAAAACAGAAATGTTTCAACTTCTCTGGTAAGCATTACTGCATGACGATATAGCGTAACGATTTTCACATAATCATAATATCAATATTGCAAGTAAATTATTCCAGTTAACATATAGGCAGTTTTTGAGCCTGTCAAACACATGACTTACTGTTGAAATAAATACTGCGTTTATTTTTTATGCAATAGCATTCATTTTCAATAAACGCCTTTAATCAATGCTGTATTAAAGTTTGGTATATAATATAAAAATAGTATTAAAAGAGAGGAACCTCTTTGTATAATGACTTTCTTCTATGCCAAGAGAGATGAATAGTGGCCTTTGTGTACGAATCATTAATAACCTTTATACAAATCAATTGTGGATAACGATTTTAACACATTTGATTAAAACATGATAATTATTATAAATTACAGTTAAATATAGACGAGAGATAAATATCAACTGCTAGAACTTATAAACACATAAAATAGTACTTTACAAAGAAAAGACAGGTTGCTAATCTCTCAAAATTTGTCTTAAAATAGGGTACAGATGTCACAATGGCAATAAGAAAGGCATCGACCTACTTAGAAGCAAAGCTTAACTATGTCAAAGATTCATACTCACTAGCGATCATTTGCTACGCTCTAGCAAGTGCCAATAACGCTTCGAGATCCACATGTTACAAGAAGCTAAAGACAGCCGCCGTTTATGATGGTTCTAATTTACATTTTCAAAATAAGATATGAATACTCGTACTCGTGATATATAAAGTTGCCGTCCTGTTTTAGTACCAATTAGTAATCTATTTTTTTTCATTATTGAATATATAAAATCTTTTTTTATGAGATATAGATTTTCTCATGAATATTTCTTTATCATCTTCTTATATTTTCATAGTTTTCCGTTTTGAGTTTCACAATTGATCTTTATAAGATAATCAATTTCATTTATGATTGTATGTTTTAAACTTTTGAACCTTATTGTATTTTTCTTCATTTTAAATTATAGATGACAAAACCTACTGGAAGGCTAACCATAGAGTTAACAAAAGGGAAGTAGGTGATCGTGCATTGAGAAATAGAGCACCATCAATGGATGTAGAAGCATCGTCCTATGGTCTTCTAACTTACATGAAACTTGGGTACTACGCAGAGGCTTTCCCTATTGTAAAATGGCTTGTGTCACAACGTAACCCGACTGGTGGTGAACGATCTACTCAGGTAATGGCAATGTCAATGCAAATATAGTTCACACTTAATAGAATACACCTTGACTATTGTTATTTATCATCTGGAGATAATGTGGACTGAAAGCAATTCTTAAACGTGATATCATACGTAAATGTTATATAATAAGTAACAGATGTATTTAATTGACACCAAAAGAAAATGAATATTTTGGTAAAAGTTTGATATATATGTATACATTATAGGACAGTCAGTTTTCAATTTCTGAACTCACAATGACCTACACTTATACATGTATTTGCATTTTGCTTTTGGTTTCAACAAACATATTTAAAATAAATACTAGTTATGTTTTATATTTATACATTTACTTAATTAAGGTGGCTTTTACACGATATAATGGAATAAAAAAATGTTGAAAATACTATTTAGTTAAAATTCTTAACAACTACTGATAGAACGGGCTGAAATATTGCATTTTGAACTTATTATTGTAAAGTATAAACAATACACAAAACGAATATAGATAGCAAAAGCTTAAAAGCCAAAAAAAATCAAGCATTGCATGTATATCAAAGCAAAAACAAATTAATTGTTAGGCACAAATGAAACAGTTAACATGTGGTCCTAATTAATACCCATTTTACAGGACACAGTTATATCGATACAAGCGCTTGCCGAATATGCAACTAATGTAGAGACTACACCAGGCCCGGATTATGGAGTAACATTCGAATTGTCTGATGATGGAATTTTCAACCACGTGTATTCTACAAATTCTTCGACATTCGATTTCGTACACAGATTCGAGGTATTTTTAAGGAAACTTGTGTATTATATCAAATACAACAAACCAATTTACTCACTATGAATTCCAACATATATACATGTGTATAAGTTTTCAAGTTAAAGAAAACTGTTCATTTTGATTATTTAGTAAGTAACATTTATTGTTTTATTTGTAATATTAAAAAAATAAATGATTGCCATAGTTGCTAAACCAGATAAAGAAAATACAGGTTAACGAATCATGGGCAAGCTAATTACCCAATTTACAATAACAGAGGCAAGACTTTTTGGCAAAGTTAAAGAATTATCTAATTTTCCGAATTTATTACGTAAGGTAATATTTGATTGAATTATTTAAATATCTATCTTTTATTACAGGTACCTTCTGATGTTGAAACATTCACACTTCAAGTAACAGGGTCAGGTTCAGCAGTTATCGATGTAAATTGATTTTATTAATAAAATGTTAATGGGTTATCCGATTTTGGTATATGAATAAAGAGTTTATTTTCTATGTTTATCATTCTCTTTCAACAAGCAAAACCTGTGTTGCTGATATGCTATATTTATTGAAATAACTTTTATTCCTACAGACTGTTGAAGAACTTTATTTATGCTGAACAACACTTTAATAGAAAAATATGCTGTCAAATCTTTTGACAATACAAAACATTTTATTTTATCGTTATCTTTAAAGATACTCTTGTCAGACGTAAGAGAAGCATAGTTGTGCATTTATAAGATACGATTGGCTTCAAGAAACATACTCTTTATCTGGGAAAAATGCTGTCAATTTTTCTGTACTTGTGGCATTAATATAGTGTATTTAATCGGTTTGGGATAACACGTGAAGTCGCACCTGTGGTTTGCCAGTTAAGCTTGAATGTCGCACCATAGTGGTGTGACGTACAACCCAATCCAAAATGTAAAATAGAATAAATAAATTAAAGATAAAAAATGAAAAGCTAAACCAGTATGACGTTGTTATGTTAATAAAACATGTTGTATATCATTGGTTAGATAAGTACATCATATTATGTGGCTGGCCATGAAGACGATGATGACATCAATGTAAAAGCAACAGTGACAAAAGAGTCGATAAATACTGTCACAATTGAATCCTGCCTAGGGTAAGTGAATCAATCTATAAATAAAATTATTTCACTGCATTTATTGTTGAAAGTAACAAAGAATGCAATCTACGTATTTAGAGAGATTTTGATGTCATTATTCTACATATTCAGACTATAATATATTTAGATGGACTGGAAGTGACAAAAGTGGCATGTTACTCATGGAGGTGGAGATGCCAACAGGATTTCAGCCTGATGAAGGTTTTTGAACAGTCAGAATTTAATCATGAAACATGAAACAAATGGACGAAATATTGCCCTATATTTCAATGGTGTACGTATGATTATTTTCTTTGTATTTATTTTTCCGTTTAAATACCAGTTTTGAAAAGAGTTGGCCGTTTCCTATGACGACATACCGCAAACATACCGCAAGCATTGGGCACTTATAAACTCATTTCCTATCCACAGAACGGTGCATGTGACCAGTGATTTATTAGTCAAGAATGTTAACCTGCAGCTCTATGTAGCAACCTCGAGGCATTATCTGGCCTGATACTAGATAATAAATGATTAAATGATGAAAGTGTCATGTTTGCGTTGACAAAACTATGAATGCGAAATTCAAGCATTTTAATCACAATATTTAATACCTACAATACAGGTTTATTCAGGTAAAGACATTTGCGTTGATGTGAAAATGGACCGTGTTGACCCAGTTGTCAAGAGTCAAGCCTGTCATGTGAAAGCATACGACTACTATGATCCAGGTAATTGAAATATCGATAATGATTACAGAGCTCTGAAAGTGGGTTGGTCTATGATTGATATTTTTTTTAAAACATTAAGTAAGAACATTGACAAGATTAAGTATCAGACATAACAGCAAACCACGTAAGAAAGTTAGAGAAATGTTGGTTGAAAGTGCTCTGAGATACTTTTTGATTCTATATTAAAATTAATTGTTTATGCAGATAATAAAAAGTTGAAGAAAAACAAAATATGTTCATACTTAATCACATAGAACTTTATATTTTTTCCCAAGCAATATCTTATAAAAACCGATAAATGATACATTTCATTTGTTTCTATCAATATTTTAAATACTGTATATTCCTTTATTGATATACTGTCACTTCTTACCTCGTTTTGTGCCGAGTCTGTCTTCTAGATCAGTTTCATGCTTGAAGCTCTCGCTGTGTGGGGTTTTGTTCTTGTCTTGATCTTTGCTCTTATATTTCTACAGTTGAACATAGAACGTTTGTTATTCACAGTCAAAATATCAACCTGAAGAAAATACCGTAACCCAATGCTAATCTAGGGATAATACAATACTTTCATTTAAACTCTGTTGGAACATTTTGCCGAGTTCTTATTACCATGAAATTGATATTTCATGTATCTTGCACATTATCCATGTTACTTGTACTTTAGATATGAGACTGCCAATATAATTTCATTTTTTAATTGTTAAGTCCATCAAGCAATAACTAGATATGAGTTTGGATTGCTGAAGGAACCCAACATTTGTAACATTTGTCCTTTGTGTGGATTCTGTTTGATACAAGAACCGGTAAGTTACATCTTTTCTGATAAACTGTTCTACAATTGAATCACAGCTTGCTTGTTTACATATCAATATAAATCTTTAATTTATGCATTGATATAAATGTTAATTAAAAGTTTGATTAATGTTAGTCTGGTAGGTACATTATGATATTTTGATTAACCAATACAATAATTAAATAAAATAACTTGTACCTTACAAATGTTTAAACATTTTTTTTTCAGACCGAAGTAGGCCGTTAAGCCGACAGAACTACATACATTACATTTTCAAATGTAAATGACCTAACTGTGCCGTATAATATTTAATCAGTGTATATAAATTGTGTGTAATTCTCTTACAATCTAAAGGTAATTTGAATCAATTATATATGACATTTGTTTCTCAGAAGTTCAACATAAACGTTCGTTTGAATAATTGACATTTATTTCCTAAGCCATCCATAACCTTTGTTCTGTCTTCTGTATTCATTTAAGGTCTCTTTTTGTCCTAACATTTTTACAGAAGGTCTTTAAAATTTCACATTTATATAAATAAATCAATAACAATTAAATTCTCGTTTACATTAATGCTGCAATTCTAATGAGTGAGGAAATTGTTGTTAATTATATATTAATATAGACGATATATATCAAACTAATATTAACACTACGGAATATATAGAAGCAGATGCCAATTAATTACATATTTTAATAAAAGTTCCGAGTAAATGAAATTAAACGCATACATTTTGTATAAGAAGTTAACATTTAAAGTTTTAGGCCAATATATGTTTTGTTTTTTCCCTTTAAAAAGGTAAAGATTTATGTATATCGATTTAAGAATGATTTAACATGAAATTGAATATAAATGAAACTAGACCTATCACTGAAGGTGATTAATACCCCCACCAGCAACTTTGACTTTTTGAAAAATAAGTAGTCTGAAGAAAAATTTGAACACAAACTATCAACTGTGTACAAAGAAATATTTCAATTAATTGTAATCCCTACTGGGGTCTCTAAATAAGCTTGCTTTTCACAAAGTTTGAATACAAGATCTCATTTCTAACTCTAGTTATTATCCGGAAACCATTTTTCTATTTTTAGTAACACTGTAACAGTGACCTTGACCCTAGGGGGTCCAAATGCAATACCAACCAAGGTCTTCATATAAGCTTGCTATACACCAAATTTGATTACAATATCTCATTCCTAACTCAAGTTATTGTCAGAAAACCATTTTTCAATTTTTAGTAACAGTGACCTTGACCCCATTGGGCCCAAATGCAATACCAACCAAGGTCTTCATATCAGCTTGCTATACCCCAAGTTTGATAACAATATTTCATTCCTAACTCTAGTTATTGTCCGGAGATTTTTCTATTTTTAGTAACAGTGACCTTGACCCAGGGGGTCCAAATGCAATACCAACCCAGGTCATTATATAAGCTTGCTATACACCAAGTTTGATAACAATATCTCATTCCTAACTTTAGTTATTGTCCGTAAAACATTAATAACGGTGACCTTGACCCCAGGGGGTCCAAATGCAATACCAACCCAGGTCTTCATATAAGCTTGCTATACACCAAGTTTGATAACAATATCTCATTCCTAACTCTAGGTTATTGTCCGGAAACCATTTTTCTATTTTTAGTAACGGTGACTTGACCCCAGGGGGTCCAAATGCAATACAAGCCAGGTCTTAATGTAAGCTTGCTATACACCAAGTTTGATAACAATATCTCATTCCTAACTCTAGTTATTGTCCGGAAACCATTTTTCTATTTTTAGTAACGGTGACTTTGACCTTGACCCCAGGGGGTCCAAATGCAATACCAACCCAGGTCTTCATATAAGCTTTCTATACGCCAAGTTTGATAACAATATCTCATTCCTAACTCTAGTTATTGTCCGGAAACCATTTTTCTATTTTTAGTAACGGTGACTTTGACCTTGACCCCAGGGGGTCCAAATGCAATACCAACCCAGGTCTTCATATAAGCTTGCTATACACCAAGTTTGATAACAATATCTCATTCCTAACTCTAGTTATTGTCCGGAAACCATTTTTCTATTTTTAGTAACGGTGACTTTGACCTTGACCCCAGGGGGTCCAAATGCAATACCAACCGGAGTTTTCACATAAGGTTGCTATATACCAAGTTTGATTACAATACCTCATTCCAAACTCTAGTTATCGTCCGGAAACCATGATGTGGACCGACCGACGGACCGACCGATCGACCAACCGACCGACAAGCTGACTCCTATATACCCCCCTAAACTTCGTTTGTGGGGGTATAAAAATGAAACAATATCAATGTATTATATATGTCGTATGTATCAATACTAACTACTATCATTTTTATTATCATAACACGTTATGTTTGCAAAACCAGTCAATAGGAATACTTAGACCATACGCATTATTTTCCCAAAAATCATTATACTTTAACATTTGTATTTGTTTCATATTATGCACATTTTATATTAATTGCACTAAGAATGGATGTATTCATCTTAAATCCACAGTGAATATTAAACTAGGAATATACTGAGGTTACATCATATCATATCAAAAATACAATTGTATTAGCAATTGCAAAGGAGTTAACTATTTATAAAATTAATACAGTCAATCATTATTTATGTATTTTTATTATTTCAAATGGTCCGCCCACCCTTCAAAGCAAAGTTAAACGACAGAAAACATTTTTTAAACGTTCATTCATTTATTTCAAACACACAGTTGCCTATGTTCAATTATATTTTTTTCTGATATTAACTGAACGTTCAAATATATCTATTGTTTTAAATGCACAGAATTCATGTACTTAATCTAGAATTATTTTAAACTCAAATCTGAATAACGCTAAACATGTTGTATTTTATACTTTTTTTAACACAATAATCTTACTTGATTGTTATATATATATTTACTTCAAAAAAAGAAAAGAAAAAAGAAACGTAATTGGAAAGGTGTTATAGCAAGTGTTCAAAATGATATCAGGAATCAGTCTGCAAAGTTGTGTGTATAATATGATGATTCCTTTAAGCGATTTAAATTCGTGAAAAGAACTGGCGAGACAATAGTTCAGTTAACATTTTTCATGTATGTGTGTTCGATATATCTAATAAAATTATAATCATACGACTTACTTGTATTTTTGATTTGAGATTCATAATTTGGTAACTAAGACTGTGCTAAATATAAATTATTAATTTGATAACTTAAGGGAATAAATAAAAGCTGCAAAAAGCAATCGGTAAAACAAGTGGATGTCTTTACGGTTGCGATTTACATACATTTAGTTTAGCAAGAGTATTGACGGTTCTCTGTAAAATGTTAATGCAGCTTAACGTTTGTATTCATGTACCACATAATTTAAATTAATAACAACTGGGAATATATCAAGGTCATTTGTATTTCTAGGATTTGGATGCTAAATTAAAGGTATCCACACATTGAAAAAATGTATCTTGTGTCAAGGACATATACTGTATCTTGAACAAAAACCGATAATACCTTAAAAATATTTTAGTATGTTTTCACAAATACGATTATTCTTCCCGCAATATCGACACACTCATTGTGGTTGACTTGCATACCCCCAGAAGATATCATCATTTTAACTTAGAAAATAGTTCTTGCGAAATAGAGATTTCCCGATCTCCGTGTAGAATGCAAACATTTAGAAACATTTTTTATTTTCTGGAATAGAGAAGGTATCTATTTCAGGGTGCTGCCAAACACTCTACTTCATGTCATGTTGTTTTATACATAGTGTCGTCTTGTGTTCAATTAATTATAAAAATTTATGATATTGACTATAAATATTTATCCAGTAAAAAAAATATTTCAAAATTTAGGAATTATAAAACCGTTATACTTTATACATTATAATGTAAGCATAATAGTATATAGGGTCCCGCTAATTTGATTTTAGAATAACTTTACGCAGACAATTAATTGACCAAGAAACGCATTTAATAACGTTGTTTGAGAATCAGATTTCGCCAAGGGACATTAATCCGGATAAGAAATAAGTTGAGTTAAAACACAATTATCTCTCTCAGGTTTTTGAGGTAATTGTTGTTAAAAATTATTAAAAAGAATTTTAAATTCGTGAGGAATGAACTTCTAATATTAAAATCTCAATTTTATGCTTATTAGACAAAAGCTCTTACGTTGCTAAAATAATAAAAATGGTCACAAGTAAACTTTTAAACTGTAAAAGCAATATATTCGTTTCCTGTGGATAGAAAAAGTATTGTTTATAATATTATTAAAATGTATACACAATTCTAGGATGAAAGAGAAATTAATTAGTATTTTTAGTAAAAGCGAGTGTGGCATACATGAGAACATCACCAAACATACTTGACAGACAAGCGTAATATCTAGTTTTGAGCATTTATTCTATCTACGTACAATATTCGTGTAATATATTTACAAAGACATTCTTAATTACGAATCTTTTAGGAAAAATAAGACAACACAGTTTTATTGTTTACAATTTTTCGTATAGTATATTTCATTAGATATAGAGCTGCATGCATTAAGATTCAAGATTCTTTATTAAGTAACGTAAACAAGTTATGTTTCTTGTTACATAATACACAATTAACTTATATACATATTACACATGTCAAATACAAAAAAAACATGAATGATTATATGCTGAAATGATATTCATCTTCTAGGTCACCACTGTTACAAATCGTACAATGTCTTTGGTTTCGTTCAGTTCTATTATTACCATAGCGACCTGTTTCGATTCGTAGTTGGTGAGAAAACAGCCTTAACTTAGTCAATGGAATACGAAGTTTAAGCGGAATTATATCTAAATAATATTCAAATTCAAAACAGTTTTTAAATAATTTATAAGTACATAAATTCGGACTAACAGACAATGTGGCAGTCCATGCCTGAACAAATTGGTCCGTTAGTCTTTGTTTGAATAACAAAGGAAACGTTTTAATATCAATAATATCAGGATTGTTCCATACATATAAAAATACATTATTTTCTAACAAAGATTTTACTTTAGATACCCAATTTACCTTGCCTCTTTGACAATTGTTTAAAATTATTTCATACATCTTTTTAACTATAATATTTTCACTATTTACAATTTTTAGCCAGTATTATACAATCCTTACATATCTGTTAATGAACAGCGGGTATCTGCATAGTTCTCCATAAATAGCCATATTGCTAGTACTTTGTTTAACATAGAGTATTAACTTACAGAATTTTAAATGAATTCTCTCAATTTCTTTGCTTTTGCTAAAACACCATATCTCGCTCGCATAATTTAACACGGAGCCAACAAATGCATCAAATAATTGACAAAGGGTGCTTGGCTTTAATGATATGCCTTTGGTATTAGCAAGCAGCAAGCAGTATATTTAATGCCTTTAAAGTCGCAATAACACGCAGACTTAAAAATGCAGGCTCAGTTTGACTGGACAGTAATAATAAATATATACTATCAGTCACGCCCGAGCAGAATTCAACATTAAATAACGTACCAAACTTTAAAACAAGAAATTTCTATTTTAAATGTACTTGTTGCAATCGCATGAGAAATATGGATAGGTGAAACATTTTTCAATTCCTCTAGCATGGGCTGAAGCAGAAATACAATTAAGAATTATTTACAGTGATCCAGAACTATTACAAAACTGTACACATACTTGACCGGATGTGTTTTTGTATGGCAGAGAAAAAGATGTCATAAATCGGCTGCGGCGTGATATTAGTTATACAAACATGAAAACACA